AGTTTGTACCACCAGTGTTAGGGTTTATGTTTCCCATCCACTCGAGCCCTTGTCCTGGAACCTGCCACATCCAGTACATATAGTAGTCGGTGAAGGTGTATCCGGATGCCCTGCATGAGATCTTCACTGATTTCCCAGGTTTTCCCACCTCAGACCCTGACTGCACAAGCCCTACCTGGGAATTCACACCTGTGGACACAGACAAGAGTGGGTGGGCTCCACTTTACTGGCCCCGTTCCCTCAGCCCAAGGCATGGGGACGCTTACCTGCAGCCACTGCCACCAGGAAGAGAATTCTCCAGGTCCAGTCCATCATGGGTACCGTGCACTCAGGGGTTTCTGAAGGTATGGGTGTGCCTGCTGAGTGATAATGTCATGAAACAGACACATCTGTATTTAATTCAGTGCCTCTAGTGTAATTTGCATATTCATGAGGAGGTAAAATTCATAGTTGAAGGCCTGGTTCAACCTTAAAAGGGGCTGATGGGTCCGTCCTCAAGGGGAATGAAGAGGTCAACGGTCTTACCCTTATTTGAGGAGATGAGACGCTGCCCTGTCCCAGGACTCTGTGCACACAGAGCTCCTCCTCCCGGACCTCCCCTTAAGGCCCCCCACATCTGTATGGCCTGGAGACATCTGGACACACCTGGGCTTTGAGGTTATACCTTGGATCCTGGAACTCCCCAAGGGATGCCACAATGAGACTACAAAACTATCCTAATGCCCCAGTGGTTTCCATTGGAGATATTAAGAAGTCCAGAAACACGCCCTGCATACAGGTTTTACTGCCTTATCAATATGATAAATGTTCTTCCAAAATGATACATGTGCACAATTTAATCTTATGTGTCGTATTTGTATTTTAATTTTTGTTCTTGAGAGAGCCAAATTTAGTTTTAGTGAAGAAGAAAATCCATGCTGAAGAGATTTCTGCCTCTCTGCCACCATTTCCCCCATATCTGCAACCCCTCTAGCCTGTAGCTCTGTGCTCTTGGGACTTAACACCCCCTGCAGCCTGGTGCCCACCTTGAAGGGAGAGACTCTGGGCTCTCAGGGGCTTCAAACTCTTGGCATCTCTAACACAAGATTGAATCCTGAGACTTCACTTCATAAACCTTGTTCAAGAGTCATATACTTTTATGGGCCTTTTGATTTGGTTTTGAGCCACAACTTGCAGTTCTGATGGCTTACTCCTGACTCTGTGTTCAGGAATCACTCAGGTAGATGCATCGTAGTAAAATATTGGCAAATCAAGTAGTTATATATAAAAACAACAAAAGGTGACACTGAGTGTTCATTGCTGAGATTATGTAAAAGTAATACAATAAATACTTAATCACTCAAATAAAAATAGTAAAAACCATCAAAATAAAGAGGACTTAAGTCGTTAGGTAGCACTGTCCTCCCGTTGTTCATCGATTTGCTCGAGCGGGCCCGGTAACGTCTCCATTGTGAGACTTGTTGTTACTGTGTTTGGCACATCGAATAAGTCACAGGTAGCTTGCCAGGCTTTGCCATGTGGGCGAAATACTCTCGGTAGCTTGCCGGGCTCTCAGAGAGGGGTGGAGGAATTAAACCCGGCTCGGCCGGGCCGGCAGCTTGCATGGCAAGCACCCTACCTCTGTGCTATTTTTATTGAACATATGACTTGAATTCTGAGTTTTCAGTGATACACAAGAGTATTATTTAAAGAAATTTACTTAGAGAAATGCAAGGGGAGAGAAAGAGAGGGCCGTGTTCAGGAGAGCACATAGGCTTCCCATTTGGATGGGAAATATCTTTGAGTTCTGATTTCTGATTTCTGATTTATGATTTCTGCTCAGACATGTTAGAAGTCTGGAAAATATCTTCTCACACAGGACAATCAAAAACCTGAACAAGTGAAAGTCAGAGACTCATTTTCTGTCTCTCTGTGAATACTAGGAAAAGAGAGATTTAGTGAGAAGTAAAATAGTACTATCTAAAGAAATTTACTTAGAGATGCAAGGAGAGATATAGAGAGAGAGATGGAGAGAGATAGAGATAGTTAGAGAGAGGGCGAGAGAGAGATGGCACACGATTTTGACAGGAAGGACAGTCCAAAGCGAGAATCTTGTCATCATCACATGAGTCATTCTCCTTTATTGATACCTAGGATTGTATATGGGTTCTCTCTCTCCCTCTCTACCTCTCTCCCCCTCTCTCTTCCTCTCTCTCCTTCTCTCTCCCTGTCCTTCTCCCTCTCTCTCCCTCGCTCTCTCTCCCTCGCTCTCTCTCCCTCTCCCTCTCTCTCCCTCTCTCCATCCTTCTCTCTCTCCCTCTCTCTCTTTCTCTCTCTCTCCCTCAGGAGGGGCCAGGCTGACCCAGCAGAGGCCCCTCGGGGTGGGTGGCTGCTCCTGGCCGGGGCCTAGGGTCACATGGGGGGCGGAGTGCCTCCAGATCTCCGGAGATGGGCTGGACCTTCGGGGCCGCGGCCCCGGGCCTCCCCGGGGGTCACACCAAGGCTGGACCATCCCCCGAGGGCAGGAGGCCCCTGGTCAGCACATCCCTGTCCCCGTGTCCACCTCTGACAGACCCAGCCACTCATCAGGAACCCGCGACTGAGCGACGTGTCTCCCCTGAGTGTCCCTCAGGAACCTCGGCCAGGCTCAGGTCTGGGTGTGACTCAGTTTCCCTCCCCACACTCCCGACACTGCACGGCCCGTCTGCACAGAATTCTGACTTTTCACATTACCTCTTAGTTCGGGTTCACCTGGCAAGGCTCAGTGTCACTCCAGGTTCTGCCTTCAGGACCCTCCTGGGAACTCAGGGTACCGGACTGGGTGCTGGGTGTCAATCTAGGTGGGCTGTGTGCAGGCGAGGGCCGACGCGCTTTCCCCTTCCCGCACTAGGTGGCTCTGACAGGGGTACTGAGCTTCCCTGATATAAAACCTCTCACTTGAGGTGGCCCCTGTCCCCGGGGCTGTCCAGGCACCTGCGAGCCCAGGACGTGAATCCTCACAGACTGACTCTGTGTCCACCTCAGTCAGCAGTTCCCAGGGAGCTTGAACCTCAGAAGGAAGCTGGAGTGCCTAGGGAATGCTGGGAATATTTCCTAAATTTGCTTCACTAAGACAGGGCACTTTCTTAAAGTTAGGAAAGCTTGTTTTCACACACCAATATTAACTGTACATTAACAAATTTTTGTTTTATTTTAATCATATTATATTAGACTTGCTTCTTTTCCTTGACCTTCTTGACTTGGTCTGGAGCGATAGCACCAGCGGTAGGGCGTTTGCACGCGGCCGACCCAGGTTTAATATCTCCGCCCCTCTCGGAGTGCCCAGGAAGCTACCGAGAGTATCTGGCCTTCATAGCAGAGCCTGGCAAGCTACCCGTGACATATTTGATATGCCAAACACAGTAACAACAAATTTCACAATCTGTTGTGAGAAGTTACTGGTGACCGCTCAAGCAAATCGATGAACAATGGGAGGACAGTGCTACAGTGCGGTGCTAACCTTCTTGACTCATGTTGTGGCTGTTTCACTCCTTCAGATGTAGAATAAATAAAATATTGTACTGTAGAATTATTATTAATGTCTTAGAAACAGTAAAAGAAACAAAATAGAAAGGAAAGAAACTAGGAACATTCATTTTAATTTTTTATTATTGTTAGACACTCCTCACATGACAAAAACTTTAAATTTTTGCTTTTCACAGCAAACTCAGGCAGGATCAGTGGAATTGGAGCATCTTTACACAAGTTCATTTTCCTGCACGACTAGCCTGATCCCTGAGCACTACAGGGTAGACAAGGACACAGAGAAAGTACTTCCAGGGATGGCCCCAAAACTAAAGGAAACACAGATTGTCCATATTCGAATAGTACAGCTTTTCATAGTGATTATGTACCCATTAGTTATATTCTAAACTAGCTATTTGTGATCATGACTCATAGTTTAATTTTTAATCAGAAATATACTTTCAACATTACTCTTCAGTATTGATATTGAACCTTTAAAACTCAGTTCCCTAAGTGAAGAATTAATGGTGCACTTGCGTTTTTAAAGTGATAACTTTGGAAGGTCACCGGAACAGGAACGATGCTCCAGTGGGTTACCCTGTGTTGGGAAAGAGAAATTTAGATTCTAGTTGCCAGGTTTCTCTGTCTTGAAAGAAATGACCAGGAATTGAGGTTGAACCTTAATGAGAAATTCATTAGACCATCTGCAATGGTCTCCGTATGGAGCCTCAGTGTAAGGAGGGTTCCTGGGCTCTGGACTATGGCATATCTGGGGGTGCCAGAAGAGTGGGGGCTCAGAGAGAGCATCAATGCTCTGGGTCCTGCCTCTTGTCTCACTGTGAAGAGGACAGCACTGCCCATGTTACAGCCCCTGGTCTCTCCTTTACAAGGGCTGAGGAGTGGAGAGGGAATGGGGAAACCTGAATGTTCACTTAGTGAGTGAATAAGGGACAGGAGGTCAGCTGATCACAGAGAGCAGGACTTCCAGGTATAGGTGACCATGTGGAGAATACCTGATGCAGGTCAGAGGTAGAGATCAGTGGGCACAGAGTATGTGTCTGAGAGTAGAAGGAAGGAGCCAGCACACAGCTGAGTGGACACTAGGATTTCTCTTTCCGACGAAGTGACCCTTACCATGAGACCATGATAATACCTACAGGGTCATTTTAATTTTTACAAGAGAATAATGTGCCCTTCAGCCCCCAGGGAAGTCATGGTTCCACTAGTCAAAACTTACAAGAAAGAGTGAGACAAAATTCTTCCTGCCCACAGTGGGGATGGAGGAGTCAGAGCCACAAGCCACAGGACAAGGTGCCCATGAGGTCGTCTGAGAGCTGAGGGGCAGGTCAGGTCTGATCTCCACAGAAAGATTATTCATCTGGTCATGAGCAACGATTCCTCAGCGGCGAGTCCTCAGAGCCTCCTGGGGGCCTGCACCCCTGAAGCTCACCCTGCTTCCTCCTGCAGGTGGTTTGTGTCTGGGCCCACAGGGCCTTCCCCTCACTGTGTATCTCTCTCACACAGTAGTACAGGGCGGTGTCCTCCTCCCTCAGGTGGCTCATTTGCAGAAAGACTGTGTTCTTACTGTTGTCTCTGGAGAAGGTGAATCGTCCCTTCACAGAGTCGGCATAGTAGGTACTAACATCACCACTACCGAAGCCTGACACCCACTCCAGGCCCTTCCCTGGAGCCTGGCGGACCCAGTTCATCCCATAGCTGGTAAAGGTGAATCCTGAGAATGCACAGGAGAGTCTCAGGGACCCTCCAGGCTTCACCAAGTCTCCCCCAGATTCCACCAGCTGCACCTCACACTGGACCCCTGCAAGCACAAAGACACCCTGGTCAGGAAACTCTCCTCACACAAAGGATCTGCCTCTCCCATCTCTCCCATGCTTCATGTCTCTGTCACCCATGAGTTACCTCCTAACACAGCCACCAGGAGAAGCCAGCTCTGCCCACATGCCATGTTGGTTCTGTCTGAGTCAGGATGGAGCCCCTAGGAACTCCTGAACTGACTCTTCTCCCAGAGCTGAGGCAGGGCTGGTTTTAATCATTATAGTGAGAGGCTCATTTGCATGTTTTCATACTTTATAAAAATTTTGGTTTTTCTGTTTGGGAAGAAAAGTCCCTTCCATAGAAGAGGCTGAGGTTTGGGGTGAGGGTGATGGGAAGGATCCTGGGGAAACTGGTGCTGGGAAATATACACTGGTGGAGGGATGGGTGTTGGAAAACTGTGTAAGTAAAATCTAATCATGAATACCTTTGTAAAGGTCTACCTCACAGTAATTCAATACATTTTTTTAATTTGGTTTTGAACATACAGAGATAGGTAGGATTCCAGAGCAGGTGTGGGTATACTAGGGTGCTTTATGACCTTGAATAACTTCAGAAAACTATTATTTTACAACAGGCAATTATCACATAACAATGAATTATTTGAAATTGTTTCCTTTTATGACCTCAATTATGGACTGAAGCACTGTAGCACTGTAGCACTGTCCTCCAGTTGTTCATCGATTTGCTTGAGCGGGCACCAGTAACATCTCCATTGTGGGAATTTTTGTTACTGTTTTTGGCATATCGAATATGCCACGGGAAGCTTGCCAGGCTTATGCAATATTACTTATATTTAGTGATGTAAATGGGACAAAAATTTAAATGATTCATACAATGTGCTTATATCTGATAAGAGAATTTCCTACAATCTATACAAGAGTCACCTCCTAAGCCACCCCTGGATATTAGTTTGCTGGGAATTAAGGGAGAAGGTAGATAGAATCAGGTTTAATGCAGAATGTACAGAAAACAGGTCCCTAAACACTGAGGCAGGCTTCTGTGTCTGTTCTGTCTCTGCTCTTTCTCCCAGAGGAAACATCCCCTGCGTTAAAAATGTTTGTTCCCATACATTAAGGCACTCAGATAGATAAAAGCTTATCCCAGACAAAGTTAAAAACTTGACCCACGATTGTTCTTACTATTTCTAATTTCAAGCCATCAATATGATTGTGTGGGGTATTTCAGGCTCTCAGTTCATGAGGATATTACCCCCCTTTCCCCCACACTTTTCTATTATGTCTGTTCCTTTTTTCTTAAAACTTGTGGCTCCCTCAGTTTGCTCCTATTAAGCGAGATTGATCACCTGTAACAGTGGAAGATGAGGCAATACGTAGGTAATTAATTCTCTTGCACACCATTGTTCAAGTTTGATCTCCTGCTCTGCATATGGTTTCTTAATTCCTGCCAGGAGTGATCCCTGAGTCCAGAGCCAGGAGTAAGCCGTGGATACAACCAGTGTGACAAAGACTACAAAACCAAAACCATCCAACAAAAAAAAGATAAAAAATGTGAGGGAATTGTTGGGGTGCCATGTGCTGAAGTAGTTCCCCTGGCTTTTCCAGGTACTCTGACATGGAACAAGAGCTAAGACCATTTCCACCCTGGTACTGTGGGTGGGAAGCAGTGTGGGGACAGATGCTGCTGGTGGACTATATGAGATGTTGCCAGACCCTAGAGAAGCTGTGTACCCTGTTGTGAGGGGATGCAGCAGCCGAGTGTCAGCTCTGCAGGGAGCAGTGTGGACGGAGAGTGTGGGCTACACGGGACTGAGAGGGCCTTGTTGCTGGGAATCTCTTGGGGACACATTCTGTTTTCATCCAGTATTGTCTTTATTTCTCTACTAATTGTGTTGTTAGCCCTGTTCCCCTCCCACCTAGTTAGCAGGCTGGTTTTTGTGCTCTTCTCCATTCTTCTACATTCTTCTCCATTCAGGTTTATGATCATCTCTGCCCAGACCCCAGTCGGGGCATTCAGTGCTCCCGCCTCTGGCTGCCTCCCTCATCACAAATGCTTAGCTAATACTAATGACTAAGTTTTATGTACTAGAAGAGAAAGTCACGGATCACGGATCACGGTCCTCCCATTGTTCATCGATTTGCTCGAGCGGGCCCAGTAACGTCTCCATCATGAGACTTGTTGTTACTGTGTTTGGCATATTGAGTACATCACGGGTAGCTTGCCAGGCTCTGCCGTGTGGGCGAGATACTCTCGGTAGCTTGCCTGGCTCTCCAAGAGGGGCGGAGGAATCGAACTCGAGTTGGTCATGTTGGCCCTACCGCTATGCTATCACTCCAGTCCATAGAAGAGAAAGTAATAATTAAATTTTATATGCTCTTTTTATTAAATTGTATTTATATATTTAATAAAAAATGAAATAAAATTATCCTCCAAAAACCTGGGGAGAAAATACAAATAAAAGAAAATTAAGAAGAAAGGAAAAAGAACCCCACAAGACCCCTCCATACCTGCTCCTGGGCACAGCCCTGGAGTCCTGGGAGCAGAGCGCACCCTGGTGGTCACAAGATGCAGTTCCCCCTGTTTTCCAGACAGGTTTATGTATGTGCTCATAGTGCCTTCCTCTCACTGTGGCTCTGCTCTTGCACAATAATACATGGCTGTGTCCTCAGATACTGAGTTGCTCAGTTTTAGGTAAAGTTGGTTCTTGGAGGTGTCCCTGGAGGTGCTGAGTCAGGGCTGAAGACTTGGGTTGTAGTGTGTTTCTCCATTACCCCACATACTGCCAATCCAATCTAGCCCATTTCCAGGGCCCTGTCGGACCCAGTCCACAGCATAGCTGGTTAGAGAGAATCCAGACACTGAACAGGTGAGGGACTGCGTCTTCAAGGGCTTCACCAGGCTTGGTTCCGACTCCTGCAGCTGTACCTGGGAGAGGACACCTGGGGATAGACACCACAGTGAGTCACAGGCTCAGAGTCCTCATGCCTAACTTGGAGCCTCTGTCCAGGGAATACTCACATCTGGGAGCTTCCACCAGAAAGAGGAGGAACCAGCGCCGATGCATGTTCTTGCCCATGTGGTTCATGATCTCAAACACCATGTCAGGGGGAGAGGGAGCCTGAGTTGGGGTGAGTGTGACCGTGGTTTTGACCATGGGTCCCAAATGCAGATTTGCATGGGGGAGCCTCTGAAGAGATAGGAGGAGACCCGGGGAAGGCTGGTGTGTGGGCTCCTGGAAGGAGGTGCTGAGTATGACTCAGAGCACTCAGGCCTGTCCCCAGGGCCCTGTGAGAGTTGGGACTCATTCTCCAGCACAAGAAACATGGCAAGGAGCTCTCAGGAAACAGGAATTGCTGAGGGGAAAATGGCAGATGGGTAGGAGAGCCCCCGTGTGTCAAGTCCCTGATGACCAAACCCAGCCTGTATACAGGCCCCTGCCTCTCTATGTCCTTTGTATTCACTCCTGTTCTCCCAAAATGAATGCAAAATTTGGGGCAGTCAATGTACTTGTTGTCGTGAATTCTCACAGAGCTGAGTCCAATCCAAAATTAATAAAATTAGGTATAATTCTGTCCTTTTCCATTGGTGAAAATTCTTTCACCTACAGAACTTCAGTCTGAAATACACAGTTATGTGGTGGATTTGTTCATTCTCTCTGATGATGGATTTATACTGGAACAATGATGATGCCTCTGCCCTGGTCACATTCCTCTTGTTGTTTACTGAATAGGAACACCTAAACCTTCTATGTCCCGTATACAACTACAGATCCATGTGACCTCAGGACCCTTCCCTATGGAGTGATTCCTGGGGAATCCAAAACCTTTTGAGGGTTTGAACACAGCGTCTGTAGGGTCCTCAGTTCTCAATGTACTGGACCCGGAGCTGGTCTTATTTCAAGGACTCACAATACTACAAATGTCCTCTTGCTCTCCATGTCACAGACACTGAATTGTTGCTTCAATGAGCACCGTTTCCACAGCACCAGGAGAGACCTATGCGATTTCTGTATGACTCCTCAGAGAGAATGGATGCAGATGTGGGGAGTCAGCATGCTGAGGGCATGTGTGAGTGACCAGCTCTGTCATCCCTGACAATTTCTCTCATGGACACCATAGGGTGGCCCCCATGATTTTCCGTGCATTACAAGTTGTGGGTTGTTGAGGGTTCCTGGGCTCAGCAGTCATGGGTGGCCTCCCTGACCCTGAGTCCCTGTGCGCAGGACATGTGGGTGAGCAGGAATAAGGCCTTACCAGCCCATGTGAGACTCACATGTCTGCGGGTTAATGGGGGCAGACATCAGAGATGAACATTAGAGATGAATTGAGACTCACAAGGGAGAATGAGCAGGAGTCTAGCTCATGAGCCTCAAGGTCAGCACAGAGTGGGGGAGAATTTAGAGGAGGGCAGAGGTCGTGTCGGGTAGGTTCCACCTCACCTGAGGGACAGGTCACAGGATGGGTCACTGTAGTGGGAGACATCCCTGGGCAGCAGAACATCCCCTGACCAGCCCTGTGTATCCTTGTTTCCTATCTGCAGCAGACCGGTGTGTGGACATCAGTGACCAATTTTGATCCACTCACCCACATGCAGCTGTCCACTGTCCAGCAGGTGAGGAGTCCTGACACCTAGAAAGCATCATTAAAATGGTCTTGGCTACCCTGAATTGGGTCAATTCTCACAGTGACTCTGGTGTTAGACAGAAACCCGCACTGGAGCAGACGATCCAGCTGACCTGTCATCAGAGTGTTTCTGCTGCTGCTGTTCCAACAGGAAACTGGGACCCTGGGTGAGAAATCCTCCTGGCCCTGTGCTCCTGCTGCTGGGCTGCAGCTCTTCTGAGTGGGTGTGAGCGCCCCCCACAGGGCAGCCCTGGAGCTCCACAGTCACAGTCTGTCACAGTTTCCGCAATTTTATCTTCCTTTCATCATTTGGTCCTTGTTGGAGTGTTATTCACAGTAAGAAACACTTTCATTCTTTGTCTTTGTCATTGATATTGAATAATCTTATCTCTTTCTTTCTTATAAAAAAGACTCAATGGAGCATTATTTTGCTAAATAGGCAGTTTTGGAAGGTAAACAAAGTAGAAAAGCAGCTCAGTGGGGTCACCATGTGAGAGGAGGGAAGGAATTTAGATTGGGAACATAAATTCCCAAATTTATGTTCTTGGGA